ATGAAACATTCTCTGTCTACTTCTGAAACATCTGTGTTTTTGCTGCCTCCAGCAGGATTGCACTGAAAGTGTTCCTGATTATTTAAAACACAAACCGAAACCTGGGCCGACTGAACCTTCGTGGGATAACTTGTTTTTTCTATAGGGCTGGCCAGCCTGTTGGTTTGTTTTCCCCCTCCCCAAGAAAAGGTCCTCTGCTCTCCAAATGTTCATACTGCCCCCTTCTATTTACTAACTTCCCCTCCCAGCTTAATATCATGCCAAACACCATCCTAAAATAGGGATGATCTGGCTCCTTCCTAAAAGTAGAAAAGAAAAATATAGAGCAATCCTCCACAGGCAATGGGTTGAATTAGTTTCAGCAAGTAGATCTCCCCCATTTCTATTATCCATGTTTGAAGCTTGTCTCCAAATTGGCTAGAAGGGATCACTGTGGTGTAGTATGAGGCGCATTCCCTTCCTCTGGGGACTGAGCGCCCTGCCAGCTAGGGAGAAGAGGTTACTCCTATTCTCTCCAGCTGCAAGAACACCCACCCCAGGAGAGGGACAGATCTGATGGAATTAAAGAGATTAACTAAATGTCAGCCAGGTCTAATCAGAGGCAGATAGAACAGGTCAGGTAGATTTTGGGGGGGGGCACATGATTGAATATGACACTTTAATGGGGCCAGTTTTATGAGATCACTGGTTATGAGCTGTCTTCCATCACCTCCTTTTGGGGGTTGGGCCATCCGTTCAGACTTCACAGGACACTAAGAAAGTGCGGGGATTTTCCCCAACCACCTTTAACTGAGGGCATCGTGTACTCCAGGACCCTCCTCCTTCCAACCTGCAAACCCTTGAAAGAAAAGTTCCATTAATTGCTGAGGTTGCCCCTTTTTTCCCTTCCCCGGCCCATCCAACTCTTTTCAGAAACTGTCCCACCCTTTGGTTGCAGACTGTTCTTTTCCCCACCTCTCCATTTGTCCCAGCAGTTGTCTGCAGCTGTGCCTCTCTGGAGGCCATCACTCTATTGATGTCTTGCATAAACTGGGAGATTGTTCTCCCCCACCATCCCGCCGCCCCATCTCCTTTAAATGATGGATAGGCTGCAAAATAGTCTGTGTGGAAGATGAATACACTGGGGACACTTTCAGGGTGCCTCACAAAATGGAAATGACTTCCTGAGATTCCCACTGTTTTAGAGAGCCATTCTGCTACTGCTTAGCATAACTTCTCAGGATAAGCCTCAAGTATTTACTGAAGACAGCCTGTCACCCCTCTTTAGTTGGTTACCTTGGTGCTGCTTGTTTGCACAGTGAAGCATGCAGTATTTTTATGAGTAAAGCACCTGCATTTCTGGCCAGGCTGCTCAGGAGAACTACGCCAACCATTTAAAAATATGACCAACAATATTAAGCTCAGTATTAAAACAAACAAAAAAATGTAACCTAAACAAGAGCATCATCTCAGAATCAGGGAAGGGCCTCACCCGTGTAACACTTGCTTAAAATACAGTATGACTCTGAAAGTGAGTTTTCTAATCAGGGATTTATTCTGCACTATATACACCTGCTTCTGCAGCAGTACAGACTGCTGATGTGTGGACAAGCAATTGCCATCCTATATATATACACAAACGTGTACAGTTCATAAACATGATAGGGTACAACGAGCACTTTGTTGGAGGCAATGACCTGTTGCACGGAAACAGATAAACCAATTTGCACACAGCTGTGTACACACACTTACACAGTAGAGGTTTTATATGCACTGTGTAGATTCCTGCATGACCTTCAATTGCTTACACACAATGCTAGTGCAGTATAGCATATGCTCACTTAGAGTGGTCTGAGAAGTCTCTTGGTTTTAAGCAATTGCTAATTTTTAGCTTAATGAGAGAGTGTGGACTAATGGCCAGAACAAGGGATTGGGAGTCTAGCTTGCTGGATTCCATTCCAAACTCTGCCCCTGACCTGTTCTGTGACCTTTGGTAAATCTGTTAATCTCACATTGCTTCATTTCTCCTATCTGAAATGAGCATGGTGATACTTGCCTTTCTCATAGGGCTGTTGTGAGGTTTTGTTAATGTCTGTTGAGATCCTCTGATGAAAGGCCCAACAGAATTGCAATGGTATTATCATTATCTTCCAGGCTTCTCTTCTTTTACAGATACACGTTCACTTGCAGTCAATATCTAATTATTAGCACAGATTTCAGCAAATCAAGATGAGCCAATAGGACTCCATTCTTTTGTCCCCTCACAAAGAAGAATGCTCTTTCAAGACTTTGGCACATGAGCCAATCAGATGAGCTTTTGTGTGTGCTGAGGACAACTTGACAGCAAGGATACCCCAGAGGCAGAATGGGTGAACTGCTCTCCCTGGGGAAATGTTTTTTGCAGAACCCCTGATTAGTGTGTTGTGCTCTGGGGTGTGCTCTGAAGAATTTCAGTTTCTCGTCTGGGTTGGTAATGACTGAAAGTTGTGATCATCTGACGGCTTATTTGCTGAACCTGTGTGAAATGATTTTCTGCAGTCTCAGTCCAAGTCCCAACGGACAAGTAACCACATCACAAGCCATTACTACATATGGCACTAGTTGATCTTTGCTGGCCATATCAGCAGAGACCAAGGACCAGGTAGACCATGGACACTGACATTCACTCTACTCATTCCCTAGCAACGTTCCCTGCTGCTCAGGGTTGAGGCGTGCTGGCCGGGCCCATTGTGGGGGGAAGTTTACACTGCTGTTTCCTATGCTTCCACCTGCTCTGTGAATAAATAAAGCTTCAGTCTTCAGGGCTGTCTGTCTAGCACCTTTCAGTAGCACAAAAAGAAGGACCAAAAGAAACAAATGAATTCTTCAGCATGGATTAGGAATTGGTTTTAAGATTCCTCATTGCCTCCCTTTGCAGCCAGTACTCATGTAATGGAAGGGGAAGGGTGTAAGCGAGTGCTGTCCTCCCTGATTAGCTGGAGATATGTCCCCTGCTGTTGCCTGCCGTGCCTCTACTAGTTCCTATTTTCCTTTTCCTGAGGGCATGTCTACAATTAAAAATTACAGCTGTGCTAGTTTGTTAGTCTCTAAGGTGCCACAAGTCCTCCTTTTTTTTTTTGCGAATACAGACTAACACGGCTGCTATTCTGAAAGCTGTGCTACTGTAGCACTTCAGTGTAGACATGACCTGTGCCAACAAGAGGACTTCTCTCTTTGGCATAGGTAATCCACCTTCCCAAGAGGTGGTAGCTAGGTCAATGGAAGAATTCTTCCAGCAACCTAATGCTGTTTATGCTGTGGATTATGTCAGTGTAGCTATTATCTCTCGGGTGTAGCTTTTTCACATGCCTGAGAGACATAGCTATGCCGTTGCAAGTTTCTAGTATAGACCAGCCCTGAGTTTCCTAAGTGGGGAGATATACATGTGTCTTGAAGGCTGCTCACAGCTGGATGCAGAGTTCAACACATTGCCACAAGAGCAGATGTCTTATGCAGAAGACAGATTAGTGCAGCCGTACACAGAGATTAATAGATAGATTTAGCCAGAATTCTTGGTTGGTGTGTGCATGCTAGTTTCTGGGTCGTGTGTTGCTGATTTCATAGTGAAATAAGATTTCCCTCATCCCCACTGTGCCGATACTATTCTTCCTGCCTATTTGTGTCAGCAGGCAGCTCCGTCTAATCTGCTCATTACTGTGTTTGGTTTTTATATTAGTTTAGAAGAGTAATAGACATTTATGGTGCACCACTCAAAGTACAATTCCTAAGGACATTTACCTGTGAGAGAGATTGTTATCAGTGCATAGAGACCCTAGACAGACAAACTGAGCTTTCATTTTACCAGCATTAGTGAGAAGTGACTGGAAAGCCAGGCTGAGCATCTGTGAAAGCAAAGGGGGTGGTGAGGTTGTGAAATTCTCCAATATTGCATGGTGCACAGCCGAGCCAGAGCATCAGGAGACGTGTGAACCCATTAATCATTGGAGGGCAGCTGCCAGCTCTCTGACTTTAATTGCGGGCCTTCTAATATTTAAGCTGATTTTGTGGGGTAAGGGGCGCTGTTAGAGAATTTCATTGCCCACTTAATGAGGTGTGAACTTAACTCAAGTTTGCCGAGTGACTTTCAACTACTGGGGGAAATAATGTTAGCACCATTTTCCTTCAGAGATTGCTGTCTTGGCAGCACGTTTAGATTTTTGTATTTTTCTCTCTCTCAATTTCCTGTTGCCCAGGCCCTCTATCTCAATGATTTACAATCTGCTGCATTTTTATTAAAGATTCTCATGGAGGGAAACTGCTTTGGAGAGAGTTGCTTTTCAATATCCCTGCCCTGAGAAGGGGGGTGAGAGTTGGGAGGGAAACAGTTACTTAACAGGGAGAGGTGGTTCGGGAAGTGTGTATTTAAGAAGAATGGTTGAAAGTGTATCTTATAAATTCCACCCACTTTCTAATAAAAGAGGGTGCCAGACTATATAAATCAAAACACCTGCCTGGCCCTCAGGACTATGTGACTTTGCACTACAGCCAAGCTTTTCAAGAAACCCAGCTGCATTGTTGCAAGCAAAATAGGGATGCACCCCCTCTCCCTTTTTGTTTTTAATTGAACAGAAATTGAGCCCTGATTTGTCATTCCATGCTCTATATAATTTTCTCCTATGATTTTTTTAAATGGTGGTTCTGTGGCATTTGGTAACCTAGTGCTACCACCTGGCTAACCTGTATTCCCAAGAGTATGCAAGACAATGAGCCTTGAATCTAATATTGCACCGATGTTACACCAGCCTTTTCTTTGATTTCAGTGATGTTACTCCTGATTTTACACTGGGGTAAGTGTGAGGAGAATCAAGCCCTGTGGATGCAGCTTGCAGGTGTATAGCTTGTACACCTGTTACAAGGTGCAGCCCTGTGTCCAGAGGAAGGCTTCTTTGCAGGTCATCTGTCACACAGGGGGAATCATTCATTGGTGTATTGTTTGCGTGGGCTCTCAGCTCTTTTCCCATCTCTGTTTTGTTTGATTACAGAGCTGATCCTTTCCCTCCTGCCTCTTCTTCCCAAGGAAACGGGCGATATGATGACAAGGACCCATCGTCGGCTAACGGGCCCTGCTGAGACAAGACGGGTTTGGCTGCAGTGGAGACATTACAGGTATTTTTCATTTCCTCATCAACTGCTACCTCTTAAATTTACAACACAGGTAAAGGTAGGAAGGAGCATGCTCCTCCAGTGACCTCCCACACCCAAGTGATGTCAGGGAACTGACTGAGCAGGGATAAGGTCCGCCTGCTATGAATAGAAGGACAAGCTAATTTATTTTGGTTTTTACATTGCACCCCTCACCATGTATCTGAGCACCTTCTAGGGATACATTAAGCAGTGTGACTGTCCCATGTTGCCTTCTTCAGAAGAAGGTAAGGTCTTTGAAAATCTCCGTCTAAGGTGCTATGTTATCTAGGCACTCAAATCCCATTGAATTTCAATGGGATTTGGGTGGCCTAATTTCCCTAGGAGCCCTTTGAAAATCTCAGCTTTAGCCAGTATGTGCTGGGTGAAAAAAGTCTCGAGCCCAATATGGCAAACATGTCATTGGTCCGATGCTAGTCTGGGGATCATCTGTTCACCATGTTTACTCACCTTGCCCCCATTTTATATTCCATCTCTTGGTAATGCTAATAGATTTTTCTTAAGTCATAGTAAAGTTGATTCATGTGCTGGGAAAAGGGCAGCCCAGATGTGGTTGATTAGTCATATTTTCTTTAATCTATTTGGATTTTCAGCCCCATGTTCAGTAGTAAAAGCAAAGGGGAACAATAAGATCTTGCTTTAGGTTTCATACCAGTGGAGTCCAGAGATGCAGTTCAAACTCTGCAAGGCTTCTGGTGGGAGTCTTTCACAAAAGACACTTTGTTCCCTTTGGGACAGATACCACCAAAGAGTAGAGTTTATTTCGTAATTATTTTTCCAGGGTCTCACTGTTTCCAGCTTGCTCACAAATACTTCACATAGAGGTTTGCTTGGAATGGCACGAAGGGGGACCGACACTGACGATTTGCTTTCTATGCATGACATGGCTTGCCCTGTCTTCATGAGATCTTTCTTGTTCCTAGAATACACTTGCTTGCCTTAATTTATGGGGCTAGTTTCCCCACCCTCCCATTTGGCTGAGATTTGTTTTGACTTTCTCACTAAGCTCCTTTCTGTGCAGGGGCAAAACCACTAACAATTAATTTAAGTGAAATGAAAATACCGTCCTTGTGCTCAGGTAGGGTCTGGGCTGCTGCAACACACTCCACCTGCTCAGATGCAAAAGGAATCTCATGTTTTGTTCAACAGGAACCCATCTGAAGAGCAGAGCGCCACTTGTGGGAGCTCCAGAGGAACTCTGCTCCCATCAGTGTAGTTTGAAAGATGTGGACTACAAGAGTGATGGCATGTGAACTAAGGAAAGGAAAGAAAAGAAATGACTCACTAGATCAGACCAAATATCCACCTAGTCCCCTCTCCCGACAGCAGGTAGTTCCAGATGCTTCAGAAAATGACATAACTTCTCCGCTCCCCTTGTTCAACAGTGGCTATTAATAATGGAAAATAATCATAATTACTCATAGCATATGAATAAATGTTATCAAAGCTAATGAGGGATACCACCTATTACTAATAAAAAGGAAATTTACCTCATTCTGCGGTAACATTCCAAGGGTTGTGGGGAAGGGCAATTTTTTCCTGACCACTAATTTGTGCTCTGAAGCATGAGGATTGATTGCCCTTGTAACTCACCGTAGCAGGTGTCATTGCAGGTATCATTCTTGTTCATATGTATGTAACATTTGGATTCTTATTGCACCGTTTCAAGTTGAGAAGAAAATTTAAGGCTGCACAAATTGCTCCCCAGAAACATTATTACCCAAGGGACTCAAGGGGAAATCCAGTGTTAAAATCTATGTATCTTGTAGGCCCCTTGCTTCTTAGTGGACTGGATGCATCTTCCTTTAAACCAGTAAAAAAGATTGAGAGCAGTGGAGTCATTTAGTTTCATTTAGTTTTTCACGGTGTTACTGCACGCAATGAGCTCAAAGTCTGAGCGGGACAAAATCTCCAATTTTCTGCCCATCCCCCCGTGGGGAAGATCAGCGATCAGGTCCCAAGCTCTTTTGGCTTGTGATGGGCTGGGAATACTATGATAGACAGTCAGGGGAAGGGGGAAATAGGATTATGTGGCTCTATAGAGAGCCACAGTCCCTGTCTTCAGATGTTAATGTCAAACAGGGGAATGAGCAAAGTAAACTAGTCAGACTACCTAGTGCCCTCCATAAAGGGACTGATGGCTCAGGGGGTTGATAATGGGATTTACTTCAAGGTCCCTGGTTCAAATTCAGCCCAGATCAATAAAGACTAATAGTGGTTATCATCCAGTGACTACTATGTGGCTAATGGAAAAAATGTTTCAGCCTCAGCCCAGCTCCTAGAGAGCAGGTGTCCACATAATAAAAAACTGTCTCCATTGGTAGGTTTGTCTACAATCGTAACAGAGAAGCTATGTGTTGAATAAGCAAGACACTGAACTTCCTTCTCATCCCTTGAGGTGGCTCAGTCAGGACTGAGGCACATTAATAGAGCTTGTACACAGTAGCGCTTACTCCGGTATAACTTAAGTCGCTCAAGGTGTGGAAAAGCCACCCCCCTTCCCCCCCCCGCCTGTGCCGTATCTGCTTTGTGGATGGATGGATGGATAGATCAACTCCGTCTCCGAAGCTGTCACTCTTGCATTTCCAGCTAGCACTAGATTATCTTAAACTAGATGAACAAGCCCTTTGGGATGTCAGTTGTTTCAAGAGCATCCTTTTGAAGTTAAAGGTCCCGGAAATCTATTTTTGGTGGAACCACTGGTACAGCCATATACATTATGAGTTAACGTTTTAAACTCTGTCCAGTGTCAGTTGCATGCAGCTGAGCTGGTATTTGTCTCCTCTTATTAAAAAGTTTAGGCGGGGTAGAAGAGCAGTCGTGTAATACTTTACTTATCACGTACAGAAAATGTAATCTGGCCCCTAGAATCTTCACTGCATCTGTATTTGTCATTAGTGGTCCCAGCGATTTTACTAGTAATGAAATAGAAAGAGCACAAGTAAGAAAGAAACTAGACAGAAAGTGTGACTCTTGATCCAAACCGATGGAGGTGGATTCAAAGAGCTGATGATTGTGTGGGCTGATGATCTCTGAGGGAGGAAGAGATAGGAGAATGTGTTCTAAATGTGACTTATGGTAAGTGGACAGGTCATGGGATATAGAGACTTTGTAAGCTCTTCACTTGCAATGTAGCCTAAGTCCTAGATACTAAAATTTGTTACCAGCTAATGACTGTTCATTGGTCTATGTGCAGTGAGTTGGAGAATCTCAATCCAAGTTCTCCTATGGACAGGTGTCCACGTCACAAACTTGGCCCCACTATAACCTAACTGCCCCCCTTGTTGGCAATCTCCATAGAGTGCCCAAGGATTGAATACGTGATATTCTCTCCTCCATGACCTGGTCGTCCAGAATCCCGTTGAGACATGCCAATGGTGAGAAGTTGGCCAAATCAGACACCTGAAAGGTGTATAGTCATCTGGAAAGGTTGAGCACCACTGCTCTAAATGACAGAAGGAGAAAATGTTCAGGGTTTGATTGTGTTTAATTCATGTAGGCTCTTACATTCGAGCTGGGGAGACCTATTCATCATCATGAGCCATACATTTTCCACCTGTAGATCACCTGCCATTTCCCTGCTGTTCCCTTACTAACAGGAAAATCTGCTTTTGCTTCACAGAAGGATCCTCTCCACACAGACTCCATGTGATGCTGAGCATGCAAGAAGAGGGTCTTAAGTCACACAACTGCAGCAGAAGCAGCAGCAACCGTTTCCTCCCTTTACTTTGCTGTGTCTTTGGTTCTCCTAGATAAAAATATGATCCTTCCACGCACCTGTCCTTTGGGAACACACTTACTGTCACGCCTAGCGACATATTTCCCGAGCCGCCTTTTCTTAGGAGGACAAATATCCTGCAAAGATATGACACTGGGGAACCAGTAATTAAAATGAAGAATGCAGTACAGTAGAAAGTAGAAATATGAGTCTAAAAGCCACACTGGAGTTTTTACTGATGGGGGTTATTGAGGACTTCAGTTTAATAATTCAGTGCAGCTAAGATTAATAAATGATATGAGGTGGAAATGGTCTTTCAAGAAGAAGGATTGGAGTGGTATGTTAACAGTTTAATTTAGTGTGTTCTGAAAAATGCTGCATGAAACCCTGTATAATAACTGAGCACAGTCCTAAGATTTCAGAGCCTTTGTAGGGGGGGAGAATGTGTATCATGAATGATATTTATGCCTCATGAGTGAGGCTGTCTGAGCACAGGCTAGAGAGTCAGGGATCCCAGCTCTGACACTGGCTTCCCGTTGGGCTTCCAGCAAGTCTCTTCATCTCTCTATCTCAGTCTCTCCACCTGGAGCATGGCATTGGCTTTCATTTTCCAGGACCAAGGGCTGCCACAGGGAACTCCCATAAAGCGCTCATCTTCAGGTTTCCCACTTGTAGCAAATCACAGCCCCTGAGCACTTGATATATTGTCATTCCCTTCCACCCTTTCTACCCTCTTTGCTCCATCTGTCTGTAATGTCAATGAATTCCAGCCCTGCTTAATGAAAGGGCTTCAGGAGACATAGATAGAGGTCTATGCAGCTTAGAGGCTCATCCTGCCATCACATACTACAGGTCATTGGCCCAGATCTACAAAGGGACTTAGGTGCCTAAATACTTAAGCATTAGGCCAGGGGTTTGGGGGGAACAGTCGCCTGGTGGATACGGTATCCAGCAGGGAGATGGGAGACCCAGAATCTAGTCCCCCTGCTCCAGTGAACTTTTAACTTATACAAAGTGGAACAGGTTCAACAGGAGAGATTACAAGAGCCCCTTCCCTCCCCATTAGACTATTCCATAGCTCAGTGGTTAGAGCACTCTCCCGAGAAGTGGTTGTCCATGTTCAAATCTTTTCACCCCCACAGGCCAAGGAAGAAATTGAACCTGTCTCCCCCACATCCCAGGTGAGTGCTCTAACCATTGAGCTAAAAGTTATAAGGGAGCTACATCCTTTGGGAACAATGAAACTGTCATCCAGTATGGGGAGGCTCGTGAGAAGAGTGAAGAGATCCTTCTGAGGAGCTGTGAGCTCACTCCTGTGAAAGATAAGAATACCTACTAACCATGCCTCATTCACGTCCCTGATTCATCGAGGTACTTTTAAGCAGTGAGCGGTCCCTTGACTTCCTCCTCCTCCTCCTCCATGTTCTCCCATTCCTCACTCCAGATGACTCTTGGCCAGTGTTAAATTGATTAGTTGATTACCTTGCTACTGTAGAGAAGATTTGGGGAAAATCTTATTTCCTGGCCATGCTTCAGATCTTTGTATATATTACAGCCATATTGCTGGGGTACAAGTGGTCTAATGAATTTACTGTCAGGGATGTGGGATGTCAGAGTGTGCATGCACATGTTACCCTGGCCGTCTCAAACGTGCACATATATTCTCCAGGTACCTCTTGCGCTATCATACATTTAGTTTATGCCACTCAGTTTGTTTAGTTTTGACTTAAAAACAAACAAACCAAAAAAACTTCTGCTTTCATTTTTCTATTTTTTTCCATTTTTTCCATTAATTTCATTAATTATTATTGAAGAACTGGGCCAAGTTCACTCTGATGTAAGCCCATCCAATTCCATTGAAGCCAGTGGAGTAATCCTGCTTACAGTAGTGGTGAATTGGGCTCCGTGAGTTCAATGGTATAGATGGAATTTAGTGACTTCCTAAGGTGCCGTATAATGTATCAGTTTCTAGAATAGCTTGAAATTGAATATCAAGGTTTGGGAAACACCTTGGGTTACTCATAGGTACACAAATAGCAACATCAGTGGAACCAGGCATGTGAATAAGGGAAGCAAATGTGGCCCTGAATCTCTAAACAACAGGCTCCACCCACTAAACAGGATTGTCACAAATCTCAGAAGTTGCACAGGATTGTTTTTATTTAATTTTTTTTTTTTAAACAGCTCCCGGTGGGAGGTTGTTTTTTTCTCCTCAGCAGCACAGGGTTTTGCAGGCTACACCATTTAGATAGATTTCAAGGGAAACCGATATTTTAGTCACTGAGTGAAACATTTTTACTTCCTAAAATTAAAAAAAAAAAATCACAATTTGCATAAAAATAAAGACCATCATTCAGAAACCTGTTATACGAAACTCAATAATCCAGACAGAAAGAGGTACTGCAGTATATTTTTGGAAAGGTTTCTGGTCTCTTTTGCAGTCTCATGCTGTCTAGGACACCTGGTAAAAACTTGAAGCAGGGAGAGCATTAAATACAGAGCAATGGCTTGTACAGAATGACCCGTGATTTGTTTTATACATTTGATCAATTTAAATCCTGTGATATTTCCCATGATTGCTCCAGCAGCTTTCCATAAACTACACAGTGCCATGTTAGTCCTTCAGCATAAGAATTACATTGTTCCCATATTATTCTTAAACCATACTGTGTAAGGGCAGATGTATTATTCAGATTGGATTGAATTATGTTTTGATTTGACACGTGCTGCAGTACTCACAGAAATACCAAGTAAGCCTTTATCAGGGGAGCAGGTAATAGCTTCTGTAATGAATCAGGAGCTGAATAAGGGTGACTGGTTGCTATCCAAACAGAAGCAAAAGTTCCTATTTAGCATGGCTCATTAAAATGATGGTGCACCCAAGTGGGTAATAGCAGCAGCAGAAGAGATATCCTGTAAGTATCAGGGCATTGATACAACTACACTGGGAGGAAATAGCTGAAATGACATTTAATTCCCACTGCTTTGCTCCCTAAACTCCCTGTGTTTTAAACGAATGCCTTTGCCACTGGGTTGCAAAGATGGACAAATCAAAGTACTTTGTGGACATTAATTAATCCTCATAACCTCCCTGTGAGATAAATGATTCTTATCCGTATTTGACAGGTCAGGAAACTGAAGCATTAAACAGCTAAGTGACTTGGCCAAGGTCCCTCAGTGACAAAGCAGGGAATAAAACCCAAAGCTCCTGATTCCGTCTCATTTTCTAACTACTACCCAACAAGATCCTTCTTGTGTGATTCTCTTTCCTGCTGTTCGCGTTAATAGGAATCTTGCTGTATCCTGCCCTGAATGGGTAGTAGTTAATGTTTGATGTAGTGTTTAGAAAAAACACACAGCATCTAGGCCAAAGGATTAAAAATATGAAACTCATGGACATACTGGAAACTCAGCTGCTGTTACTATGAAGCACTCTTGACCCTCCAGATGGTGCTGTATATTTTTACATAGACATAAGTCTTCTCCATACTCTTGTACCATTGAAGCCTTAAATATAGTTGCAGGTATTTTTCTCCAACCAAGGAAAGCCTGGCTCCTATTTTTGCTGAAATGCATAAAGCTGAAAGACACTCCTATCAGTAAGGCTACTTATATAAAATTCCCTTTGCTGCAGTTCCTGCAACAGAAACATTGTATTATAATGGAGATTTCAACTCCTGTGTTGCACAGCTCTTGGGCAAATTTGTCTTCCTCATTTAGCTTTGGGTCCCATGAAGGAGGATGATGGGAATGCCAATTAATCTCCATAAAAGCCACAAATCAAGCCCTGTCATAACTAAAGAGCGCTCAATGTGGTGTCATCATTACTTACCTCTGGGTGAACATGAGAAGCAGGGCGCTCAATCTGGGCCTAATTGCAAGTGTCACAAATTACTTGTAGTTGAGAGATTGGCTCATTAGTTGAGAGCCTTTTGCACTGGGAGGCCCAGAAATTCTGATGCAATGTGGCACTGCAGGAATGGAGTGGGAAGAAAACATGCTTCTGAATCAGCAGAAATCACAAACATTAGGACCTCTCTTCATGTCTCGCTGTGCCACTCTGATGGTTAGCTAAAAGAGAAGAGGATTCCCTGGGTAGAGCCTTCTCTACTACAGTCCAGATTCCACAATCTATCTTTATTTAGGCCCTGATTCTGCAAAGCTCTTCAGCATGTACTTGAGGTTAAGCACAGGCTTAAGTCCCATTGAAGCTAATCATGTATTTAAGTGCTTTATGTAGAAACTACCACTGATTAATAACTGCTCTTGTTCAGTTGCCAAATGTTCATCACACAAGCCACAAGGGAAAGCTATTACATATGACTGCCTCTGGGCTTATTGAAAATTAATACAGTTTGCAGTTTCTCCATGAAAAATGGCATGGCTATTTTTTTTTCCCTTTCCAGATCTTTGATCAGTCAAATCGGTTTCCATGCATTTACTTTTGAGGAGGAGGCATGCTTTGAGTATGCACCTGGAAGTCAGGAATTTGAGTTCTAATTCCAACTTTGGCTTTAGGCACAGCATGTAACACTCTGTGCCTCAGTTTCCAAATCTGTAAAATGGGGTTAATGATACAAGGGTGTGGTGAGGATTAACTAAATTCTGTTCAAGTCCTTTCAAGAGGGATAACTACTGTATGTAAATATTTGGTTTGCTTTTTGCTACCTAAGTCTTTTCCTTTCTTCAGTCTCTTTAGACGAAAATCATACATGCCACAGGCTCCACAGAGTGAAGCTAATTTTTTCATAATATTATTGTTTTAAAATCCTAAATTATGCCCAGTGGCTGTTATTTTAATATAGTCCCAGGTTAATTGGACTGGAACCATATGTATATTTGGCAACAAAGTATAACTAAAATGTTCTCTCTTTAGTTATTGAGAAAATAATCTGCTGAATGCAAAGAGTCATAACTATGGTCCCTGTCCTACAATCAGTTCTGTACAGGTGGACCTCAGTTCCCATGCTGACCCCTTTTGATGCCAGTTGATTTACATGCACAAGCAGGGATCCACACTACTTGATCCATTTGCAGGACTGGGCTCAAATCGTGAAGTCCGGCCTTGCTTTTCTCAGTCCTTTTTCAGGCAAACATTATCAAAGGGGACTTGCCTGAAGCAAGACTACATTTGTGGGTGAGGACTTCAGGACTTTGAACTTTGGTGAGGGCAGATAGGTGCCTCAATGGGAATTAAGTACCTAGGTGCTTTTGAAATTCCCACTAGGCACCGAAGTGCGCCTTTATGTACCTAAATGCCTTTAAAAATCTGGCCCCTATGCAACTCACATATACAGTGTTCATTGGGGGGGAAAAAGAGAATTACATCCACACACAGGGTCGAAAGGGACCTATCTGCATCTTTAGGCACTTGGGCACCTAACTCCTGTTGGTTTCAGTAGGCATTAGGAACCTAAATACCCTTCAGGATCTGTGTCTTAGGGTATGTCTACACTACAAAATTAGGTCAAATTTATAGAAGTCTGTTTTCTAGAAAGCGTTCTTATATAGTTGATTGTGTGTGTCCCCACACAAATGCTCTAAGTGCATGTAGTCGGCGGAGTGTATCCACAGTACCGAGGCAACCATCAACTTCCGGAGCGTTGTACTGTGGGTAGCTATCGAACAGTTCCTGCAGTCTCCGCCGCCCATTTGAATTCTGGGTAGAAATCCCAGTGCCTGATGGGGCTAAAACATTGTCGCGGGTGGTTCTGGTTACATATCGTCAGGCCCCCGTTCCTTCCCTCCCTCCCTCCGTGAAAGCAAGGGCAGATAATCGTTTTGTGCCTTTTTTCTTGAGTTACCTGTGCAGACGCCATACCACAGCAAGCATGGATCCCGCTCAGCTAACCGTCACTGTATGTCTCCTGGGTGCTGGCAGACGTGGTACTGCATTGCTACACAGCAGCAGTTTATTGACAGCAGACAGTGCAGTATGACTGGTAGTCATCATTGACGTAGTCCTGGGTGCTCTTTTAACCGGGCACCTAGGCAAACATGGGAGTGACTCAGCCAGGTCATTTCCCTTGTTTCGGCTCATGGCGATTGAGTCCTACCGGCAGTGCACTGTCTTAATCAGCAGCCAGCAGAAGATGATGGCCAGTAGTCATACTGCACCGTCTTCTGCCGAGCACCCAGGAGATGATGACGGCTAGCGGTCGTACTGCACAGTCTGCTGCCAGCAAGATGTATAAAGATAGATGGAGTGGCTCAAAAGAAGAAATAGACCAGATTTGTTTTGTATTCATTTTCTCCTCCCTCCCTCCCTCTGTGAAATCAACGGCCTGCTAAACCCAGTTTTGAATTCTATCCTTGAGATTTTGAGTTCTGTCCTTGAGGGGGCCATTCAGTTTCTCGCAAAGCCACCCCTTTGTTGATTTTAATTCCCTGTAAGCCAATCCTGTAAGCCATGTCGTCAGTCGCCCCTCCCTCCGTCAGGGCAATGGCAGACAATCGTTCCATGCTTTTTTTCTGTGCAGACGCCATACCATGGCAAGCATGGAGCCTGCTCAGATCACTTTGGCAATTAGGAGCACATTAAACACCACACGCATTATCCAGCAGTATATGCAGCACCAGAATCTGGCAAAGCGATACCAGGCGAGTAGGCAACATCAGCACAGTGACGAGAGTGATGAGGACATGAACACAGACTTCTCTCAAAGCACGGGCCCTGGTAACGTGGGCATCATGGTGCTAATGGGGCAGGCTCATGTGGTGGAACGCTGATTCTGGGCCTGAGAAATAGGCACAGACTGGTGGGACCGCACAGTATTGCAGGTCTGGGACGATTCCCAGTGGCTGCGAAACTTTCACATGCGTAAGGGCACTTTCATGGAACTTTGTGACTTGCTTTCCCCTGCCCTGAAGTGCATGAATACCAAGATGAGAGCAGCCCTCACAGTTGAGAAGCAAGTGGCAATAGCCCTGTGGAAGCTTGCAACGCCAAACAGCTACCGGTCAGTCGGGAATCAGTTTGGAACGGGCAAATCTACTGTGGGGGCTGCTGTGATGCAAGTAGCCAACGCAATCAAAGATCTGCTGATATCAAGGGTAGTGACCCTGGGAAATGTGCAGGTCATAGTGGATGGCTTTGCTGCAATGGGATTCCCTAACTGTGGTGGGGCCATAGACGGAACCCATATCCCTGTCTTGGCACCGGAGCACCAAGCCAGCGAGTACATAAACCGCAAGGGGTACTTTTCAATAGTGCTGCAAGCACTGGTGGATCACAAGGGACGTTTCACCAACATCAACGTGGGATGGCCGGGAAAGGTACATGACGCTCGCATCTTCAGGAACTCTGGTCTGTTTCAAAAACTGCAGGAAGGGGCTTTCTTCCCAGACCAGAAAATAACCATTGGGGATGTTGAAATGCCTATAGTTATTCTTGGGAACCCAGCCTACCCCTTAATGCCATGGCTCATGAAGCCGTACACAGGCAGCCTGGACAGTAGTCAGGAGCTGTTCAACTACAGGCTGAGCAAGAGCAGAATGGTGGTAGAATGTGCATTTGGATGTTTAAAAGTGTGCTGGCGCAGTTTACTGACTCGGTCAGACCTCAGCGAAACCAATATTCCCACTGTTATTACTGCTTGCTGTGTGCTCCACAATATCTGTGAGAGTAAGGGGGAGACGTTTATGGCGGGGTGGGAGGTTGAGGCAAATCGCCTGGCTGCTGGTTACGCACAGCCAGACACCAGGGCGGTTAGAAGAGCACAGGAGGGCGTGGTACGCATCAGAGAAGCTTTGAAAACCAGTTTCATGACTGACCAGGCTAGGGTGTGAAAGTTCTGTTTGTTTCTCCTTGATGAAACCCTCCGCCCCTTGGTTCACTCTACTTTCCTGTAAGCTAACCACCCTCCCCTCCTCCCTTCGATCACTGCTTGCAGAGGCAATAAAGTCATTGTTGCTTCACATTCATGCATTCTTTATTAATTCATCGCACAAATAGGGGGATAACTACCAAGGTAGCCCAGGAGGGGTGGTGGAGGAGGGAAGGACAAGGCCGTACCGCACTTCAAAAGTTTAAAACTTTAAAATTTATTGAATGCGAGCCTTCTGTTGCTTGGGCAATCCTCTGGGGTGGAGTGGCAGGGTGGACGGAGGCCCCCCCACCGCGTTCTTGGGCGTCGGGGTGAGGAGGCTTTGGAACTTGGGGAGGAGGACAGTTGGTTACACAGGGGCTGTAGCGGCGGTCTGTGCTCCAGCTGCCTTTCCTGCAGCTCAACCATACACTGGAGCATATTAGTTTGATCCTCCAGCAGCCTCAGCATTGAATCCTGCCTCCTCTCATCACGCTGCCGCCACCTTTCAGCTTCAGCCCTCTCTTCAGCCCACCACCTCTCCTCCCGGTCATTTTGTGCTTTCCTGCACTCTGACATTGTCTGCCTCCACACATTCATCTGTGCTCTGTCAGTGTGGGAGGACAAAATGAGCTCAGAGAACATTTCATCGCGAGTGCGTTTTTTCCACCTTCTAATCTTTGCTAGCCTCTGGGAAGGAGAAGATCCTGTGATCCTTGAAACACATGCAGCTGGTGGAGAAAAAAAAAAGGGACAGTGGTATTTAAAAAGACACATTTTATGGAACAATGGGTACACTCTTTCATGATAAACCTCGCTGTTAACATTACATACATAGCACATGTGCTTTCGTTCCAAGATCGCATTTTGCCTCCCCCCACCATGTGGATAGCCCCTCCACCCTCCGTGCCTTCCCCCTCTCCACCCCCCGTGGCTAACGGCGGGGACCATTTCTGTTCAGCCACAGGCAAACAGCCCAGCAGGAACGGGCACCTCTGAGTGTCCCCTTAAGAAAAACACCCTATTTCAACCAGGTGACCATGAATGATATCACTCTCCTGAGGATAACACAGAGAGATAAAGAAAGGATGATGTTTGAATGCCAGCAAACATACACTGCAATGCTTTGTTCTACAATGATTCCCAAGTACGTGCTACTGGACTGGAGTGGTAAAGTGTCCTGCCATGGTGGATGGAATAAGGTTGCCCTCCCCAGAAACCTTTTGCAAAGGCTTTGGGAGTACATCCAGTAGAGCCGTGAATGCCAGGGCAAATTAATCCTTTCACATGCTTGCTTTTAAACCATGTATAGTATTTTAAAAGGTACGCTCACGAGAGGTCCCTTCTTCACCTGGCCGGTCTGGGAGGCAGCCTTGGGTGGGTTCGGGGGGTACTGGCTCCAAGTCCAGGGTGAGAAACAGTTCCTGGCTGTCGGGAAAACTGGTTTCTCCGCTTGCTTGCTGTGAGCTATCTACAACCTCATCATCATCATCTTCCTCGTCCCCAAAACCTGCTTCCGTGTTGCCTCCATCTCCATTGAAGGAGTCAAACAACATGGCTGGGGTAGTGGTGGCTGAACCCCCTAAAATGGCATGCAGCTCATCATAGAAGCGGCATGTTTGGGGCTCTGACCCGGAGCGGCCGTTTGCCTCTCTGGTTTTCTGGTAGGCTTGCCTCAGCTCCTTAAGTTTCACGCGACACTGCTTCGGATCCCTGTTATGGCCTCTGTCCTTCATGCCCTGGGAGATTTTGACAAAGGTTTTGGCATTTCGAAAACTGGAACATAGTTCTGATAGCACGGATTCCTCTCCCCATACAGCGATCAGATCCCGTACCTCTCATTCGGTCCATGCTGGAGCTCTTTTGCAATTCTGGGACTCCATCATGGTCACCTCTGCTGATGAGCTCTGCATTGTTACCTGCAGCTTGCCACTCTGGCCAAACAGGAAATTGAAATTCAAAAGTTTGCGGACCTTTTCCTGTCTACCTAGCCAGTGCATCTGAGCTGAGAGTGCTGTCTAGAGCGGTCACAACGGAGCACTCTGGGATAGCTCCTGGAGGCCAATACCGTCTAATTGCATCCACAGTAGCCCAAATTCGACCCAGCAAGGCCAATTTCAGCGCTAATCCCCTTGTCGGGGGTGGAATAAGGAAATTGATTTTAAGAGCCCTTTAAGTCGAAAAAAAGGGCTTCATCATGTGGAGGGGTGCAGGGTTAAATCGATTTAATGCTGCTAAATTCAACCTCAACTCCTAGTTTAGACCAGGGCTTAAATACCTTTGGAAATCTGGCTCTACATCCCTTCTGTGTCTTAGGTTGGGCTGTTAGACTTTAGACCTTGTTAGACTTTAAATATTTAAAACAACCCTCTTTAAAAACAACAATATCTGTAGTATTATATTTCAGTTACAAAGCTTGTTAAAAGGGGGAAGGATTTGCGTTTCCAAACTGGAAAACCAGACTGTATCACATTGGTTTGATTTTTGTTTTCAGGAGAATGCATACATTATTTTAATGTAAAGGACAAATCAAATCCCATCAGCTATTATTGACACCAGCATTATTACAAGGGAAATCATGCAGACTCCGTTTTAGCTTAGGATGAGCTTTGTAATATACATAATTCTTAATGAACTGGAAATATTGCTTTTTTTGCACTTTCTGGGCTGTGTGTCTTGATCCAAGTTCTGTTCTCCATGAGCATTATTTCTTAATGGTTTAAAGTTGCAGATGTTTCTTTGTTTGCCTAGACCAGTCCAACTAAAGAGGAAAAAGTAAGTCTGCAGCCTGAGGAGACTAGGTTGAGACTTTTGGAAGGCAGCAGAGGTAAATGGTGACAGTGAAGCAATGAAGTGGTCAGTCTTAGTTACTGGAATAAGAAAAAGGGATGAAATGCTACTTGAAGTTGATTGAGTCATTAGCAAGCTTTCAATATGACGAAAATGCTACTGCTCCTGTGGCAGCCAGCCCCGCTTGCCTTGTTTATTGCAGTCTAAGTATCGTCGTATGCATCCATAGTAGTTCTATTTCTGTCTGCAGAGAGTGTAACGGTCTCAGCCTGATGCTTTGCAGGCTGAACTTCTTAAAATTCGATTTTACTGGGATGAAAAGTAATAAGCAAGTTATAGATCAGATTTATAAACTCATTTATACAGCAAAGAGCTCGTTCCTGATCTCATTTATACCAATGTAAAGCCAGAGTAACCCCACTGAAGTTGATAGAATTTACACTAGTGTAAATGAGGTGAGAATTTGGCCCAGTATTCTTAGGCTTTCCCCATAAAGCACAGGACATTTTTAGTTCTGCAACACTCAAGCCTCTTTATTCATGTTCCCATCTGCTGATTTGGTTTATGACAACACTAGCAACAGACAGTTTCCCTAGGGCCACATCAAAACTCTTTAAGACATCTGAATCTGAAGATTGGATGAGTGGCGGGAAACGCAGCTGACAATATTCACCCTCTTCTCTTGCAAAGGCCTAGATAATGAAATCTTTAAGCAAAACAAATTGATGCAAAGAAATTCAGAGGTTTCTGGTGGGCTTAGAAACCGTTACAGCAGCCAGCTTCTGGAAGACTGATTTAATTATACCAGTCTAAAGGGGCGCTGATCACTTGACATCTCTCCAGCCCTCAGATAGTCTTGGAACTGGACTGGAGAAATCATTTGAACGCAGTGGTGCTCATTCAGTATCCAATTTACCAGCAATAGGAAAGCATTACAATAGGATTGACATTATAAAATATTCCCTCTCCATGTCCTTTGTGCCAAAATCAGAGACGTAGTTCCCCCATAGACAGCTGTTTGGTTCCTTCCCTCTTATGCTGTGATTTCTGGCTGTTCCCTGTCTGCACTCTTGCAGCAGGTCGTATAGTGATATTTGGAGGGGACTGAAGCGTTGTGAAATATTTTTGCATGGCAGGAGATGCAGGTGAGTTGACTGGGTAAGAAAGATGTGGAAAAATGCCAAATTGACCAAAGACGCCTGTATAGCCATAGGACAGCAGGAGGAACAGCGATGTAAATCCTCCATGCAGTCCTCCCTCAACTGACCTGCAGGGACTATATGTAGGGGGATTGAGTGTAGTTTACTCTCCAAGACCTGTGCAGTCTTCTGCCGCAACAAGGGCACCAACCATTGCCAGTGGACACTGTTCTCCTAGGAAGTGGATATGGGTCCATGCTCCATGTGCCATGGTGATGAGAGTTGGTATAAAAAACTAGGCATTGGATTATGTAGGAGACTGAATGCTGTCAGATGGTCACCACTGACCTAAGATGGATTTAAAGCATTGCCCTAAAAAGGAGGGGGCTCGATGGACCTGATTCTTAACCACCTTGCACTTTGTGTAGTCCCTTACACCTGAATAGAAGGTATATCATTTGGATGTAGTAGCATTTCATATGCACTTTACACAGGTGTAAATAATCACAGAAATCTGCACAGCAGAGACCCAAGATGCATATCCCTGTTACCATGCAGCCACCATTCTGCCGTTATTTTAACACAGCAGTTCTCAAACTGTGGGTCGAGACCCCATTTTAATGGGGTCACCAGAGCTAGCTTTAGACTTGCTGGGGCCAAAGCCAAAGCCTGACCCTCACTGCCCAGGGCCAAAGCCATAGCCTGAGGGCTTCAGCCCTGGATGATGGGACTCAGGTTATAGGCCCCACGCTTGGGGCTGAAGCCCTTTGGCTTTGGCCCCTGCCTCCAGGGCAGTGGGGTTTGGGCGGGCTCAGGCTTTAGTGCCCCCTGTGGGGTTGTGTAGTAATTTTTGTTGTCAGAAGGGGATCATGGTGCAAGGAAGTTTGAGAACCCTGCCTTTGAAGCAAGCAAGCAGCAAGACACAACAGTCCAAATTGGGGCTTAGCAGCTGCAACATCCAGGAAACTCCACAAACCCTAGGTTAGTGCCTAGACTCCCTACACAATGCATGGGGAGAAACAGGTGCGTGAGAATGAGATCCACAAAAACCAGCATGGTAGGCAGGAAACTACCTAAGAGCAAATACCAACGAGAGGGATGTGCCCTAAGCCCCCACCTCTCTCAGGGAGGGAGGCACTTACCTCTGCACCTCTCCACAGGTGCGATCTCTATTCTGGAGTCAGG